ACGGGAAAACCCAAATGAACTTTTTGGCAAACCCAATATATCAAATCATCATGTTGTACACTTTAAATATTTTGTAATTTTTCTTGTCAGTTATACCTCAATAAAGGAAAAGATAAAAGTCTAACCATAGAATCTTCCCCATATCTTAACACAGATGTTACTTTATGAAAACAAGTTTGGAAGTTACTGAAGTTGACTAAAATATTCAAAAAGTTCTATTGAGGTTTTAACCAGCTACCATAAAAAGTCCAATTTTCACTTGTTGACCTGGCAAGTGTACACATGTGCAAAGTTGTGTCTCATTTAACTAGCTAAATACTACTTAGCACTTAATCATTATTAGAAAAAATTAAATAATTAGCGTTTCAATATTCTGTCCTAGTGATAATGCTGCCAGTCTCTGACCTGATCCCATCAGTATATAATCACACCCAGCTATACGGGCCACGAAAGTATTTTCTCTCACTCCCTAGATTCTATCTTATTCATCGTTTTCTTCATCAAACAGGTGCAAGTTTACTGAATAAGAAGTTTAGTCAGTTCATTTTAGAATCTCCTGAAAATAATCCAAGAAAGCCTAAATTTTAAGTTCAAATCACTTCTAAATCATTTTGCCTACTCAGCAGAAATTTATTCTAGGCAGTCCTCTAAAGTACATTTGTTAAATGTCTATTATGTGCAAGACATCAGGAAGGACACAAAAATATGTAAGACTCTTCTCAAGGGGCTCTCTCTTTTCAGGAGAGATGGCAGGTAGACGCATAAGTACAACAGAAGTCAAAAGAAATCTAAATGGCCCGCTGTAACAATTCAGAGAATGGACCCAAACCTTCAGCCTGAAGTGTTCAGGAAGACTTTATTAAAAAAGCATATTACAGAATATTACAGCCAGCGGGACCTTAGAAAACACCCGTTTCAGTCCTACCATTTTACAGATAAGAAACGAAAAAAGAAAAAGACAAAGCCCTTTAAGGAGGGATAGCAATGAACCCAATACTACACACAGAGACGAACAGTCTGCACAGGAAGGCAGACCTCTGGATTCCCAGCGTTCTGCTTTTCCATGACACCACACTGCCCTCTGAGACGGGGAGGATTTGAACAGGCAAAGATGGCGGGAAGAAGAGAGCAGACTGGTGAAGATCGAACACTAAAATATAAAAACACTGATAAGAAGGTATTTGGGCTTCCCTGGTGGCTCAGGGGTAAAGAATCCGTCTGCCAACGCAGGAGATTAAGAGACACGGGTTCGATCCCTGAGTCGAGATCTCTTGGAGTAGGAAATGACAACCCACTCCAGTATTCTAGCCTGGAAAATCCCAAGGACAGAGGAGCCTGATGGGCCACGGTCCATGTGGTCGCAAAGAGTCAGACACGACTGAGCAACTAACGAGAAGGTATTTGGAAAAGAGTGTGTTAAAATCTGAGGACGTGATGTTCAGGGGAGAGATGTTCAGGGGAGAAATGAGACACAAGACTGCAAGTGGAGTGAGATTAGACAAAGGAAGACATCAAATGACAGCCCGAGAGACTTAGTTTTTCGCTAGATGGTTTCATGGACACAGGTAGCAAAATTTACTTATAAAATCTAACGAAAAGTCCCTGCAACACTGGTGTCATTGTATGACACTGCTCACCTTAGAGGCTTATAATGAGAGGATAAAGAACCCTTCTGACACGAGAAAGGACGGTTAGTGTAGAAAATTTCTAATGAACGCAATCTGTTTTTCAACACTTCTCTTTCTCCAAAGTGGAGGGTGACACCCCACAGTAAAAGCAGGGCAGACACTGTGATCTGCTGACAGCAGTGCTAACTGAGAGGTCGGCGCGGTACTCCGCCTCCTGCTTGGCATCTCCGGAGGGTTTCAGCAGGGCCTTCCCAGAGGTTCCTTTGCCAACTCTCGGCAATGAAACGCAGTAGGATCTCCATCCTCACTGATGCCGGGTTCACCCATGCACGTGTAGAGAGGGAGCTGCTCTTCCCTCCACCCAATACCTAGCCCTTTGGGCCTTATTCTTTTCCTTGGGACTAGAAATAGGTGGCAACAGTCATAAAGAATCTGCCTGTCAATGCAGGAGATCCAAGAGATGTGAGTTCGATCCCAGGTTGGGAAGATCCCCTGGAGTAGGAAATGGCAACCCACTCTGGTGTTCTTGCCTGGAAAGTTCCATGGACAGAGGAGCCTGCCAGGCTCCATGCTCCATGGGGACACAAAGAATCAAACGTGACTGTGTACATTCACACACACACAGAAACAGACCAGAGGCAGCATACACGGTTTCACACCAACATTCATATGGCACTCTAGGGTGATTTCAAAGCACTTTCATAGTCTCTTTTAACTTATCAAGAAGCAATCCTTGGCTCCAACTCTGTCTTCACCCTATCTGTGCTGTGTTGTACTTAGTCGTGTCCGACTCTTTGAGACCCCATGGCCTGTAGCCTGCCAGGCTCCTCTGTCCATGGGGATTCTCCAGGTAAGAATACTGAAATGGGTTGCCATGCCCTTCTCCAAGGGAATCCTCCCAATCCAGGGATCGAACCCAGGTCTCCCACATTGCGGGTTCTTTACCATCTGAGCCACCAGGGAAGCCCCCTATAGCTCTCCCCAGTCCCCCAGAGAGTAGAATGCTCTCCCTGTCTCTCTGGTTACTGGCTAGCTCTAACTTCAACCTTTCAACCTAGACAACTCTTGTGAAACCCTGACTCTATTATCCAACTCAATTGTAAACTCTGCCTTTACCAGGAAACTCTTACTGTATTCTACCCACTAAACCCCAGGACATCAGTATCAGTTGGGATATTTCAAAGCTGCTTGAACATCATAGCTTGATCTCTAGGGACCTTCCTTTTGAAAGTCTGCTCCTTAGCAAAAATTATTCCTCAACCGCCAGCTCTGTGTATTCTTGGTCTGCAGCTGTTGAGATGCCAGCAGACTGTGTCTAAGGCAATTCAGGTAACCATAGAAGATCGGAAGAGAGTGCATTGACTATACCAGAGTTTAACAACTTATAAAGAGTTTGTGAGGTACACTGGGCTATCAAGCCACAATTTTGTGAGAGGAGAGTCATGACTGTTCAGAGCTGGTGGAGAACCTGACCTCCTGGGCCTCAGTATCAAGGCCTGGGTATCGGACTATTAACTGATCCTTATCCTCCCACTCTGGTACATAGACTCATCAGGAAAAAATTATTTTTCACTAAATAAAAGTAGGTAGGACTTTCTAAACAGTGAACGAGAAGACTGTAAATATTTTACTGCTCACTGTTTAATTCTTGCTTAGAACAAAAAAATGAAACTGAGTAATAAAGTCCTTTTCAACAACACAGTGACCCACAGATTTCATTGTAACTGGGCACCTACCATGAGCCAGGCATGGTGAGCCCATGCATTATCTCATGTGATCCTTACATTAGCCCAATAGAGTGCACACGATTTGTATTCCTAGATTATGTATGAGGAAACTGGGCCTGAGTAAGATTAGCAATGTGCCCAAAGTCACAGCCATCTGTAAAAGAGCTGCAATTGGACCTCTAGCCACCTAACTGCCAAGTCTGTGAACTCAACCAGTAAATCGCCCAACTGGCCCATTTTTATTGTTATTAAAAAAAACATAAAATGCTCAATTGGCCCATTTTTATTAAAAAACAAATCAAGTTTGAGGCACTAAATAAAGAATACATATTGTTTTTATAAGTTAAAAAACAGAAAGAAAGACCAAACTTCTTTTGAAAGCTTGTTATCCTTAATTTTAAACTAATTTTAAAAACCAAAGGTGCTGTTCACTCTGAGTTTGGTAATGCCATTGAGGCAAATTTTCAGAAACCTCTAGATAGTAGAATAAAATGCCATCCATCCCTCCATAGACACGTACTCAGCATCTGCTACTTGGCAGCAAGCACTGTACCAGGAAGGAAGGACACAGAGATGAGCAAGAGCCAGGTCCCCGCCCTTGAGGAGCACACAGACAAGCTGGGAGGACAGTCGTTCTACGTGTGGACACAGTGACACATGACGAGTGTGATGGTGGGGAGATGGAAGGAAGCTGTGCACAACAGGGGAAGCCTAACTCAGCCGGGACAAGGGAACACCTCCAGAGTGAGAGAAAAGGGGTGTGGGAAGGGCATGGTGAGTGCTCCAGGCAGAGAGAAGAGCATGCTTCAAGGACCAGGGTGGAGATCAGGACTGAAGGAAGTTCAGAGTGGTGCATCGAGGTCAGTAGTTCAGTCGTGTCCGACTCTTGTGACCCCATGGACTGTGGCCCGCCAGGCTTCTCTGTCCATGGGATTTCCCAGGCAAGGATAATGGAGTGGGCTACCATTTCCTCCTCCAGGGGCTCTTCCTAACCCTGAGACTGAACCCAGGTCTCCTGCATTGGCAGGCGGGTTCTTTGGCCCTGAGCCACCTGGGAAGCCCTCAGTGTAGCTCAAGCTAACACCAAATGCAAGAAAGGAGGGAGCCAAACCTTAGGACTGGGTAGGTAGGCAGGGGCTGCGCTGCAGGACACTCTAAGCCATACTAAAGACGAGTATGGGGAATGGGGAGGCAATGGGGAACCAACTTAAGCAAAAAAAAAGACTCAGATTTTAGTTTCTCAAGTATCCATCTGGCTGCAGAGTGAAAAGTAGATCACAGTGGGTGTAAGGTTGGGTGAAACTGTATTAGGAAACCACTTCTGTAATGCAAGTGATAGATGATGGTGAGCTGGGCTGGGTGATAGGTATCAGAAAGAAGATATTTATAAGGCAGAATGGATAGGAATTGATGGAAGATTGAATGGGGCGGGTGGGAGGTCGTGATTTAAGCCCTGAGGTAATTCTAAAGTTTAGAAGGTAGAAGACCCTATTTTTTAATTTCAACTAGTCATTTAGCTGGGGGAAAAATCATTTTTGAAAATTTATTCCATCAAGCAGAAGAAATATATGGCTTTTAAACCATATTATTATTAGTACCTGGTTTCATTAGTATTCATTAGTAGCTGGTTTCAGCCATAACTCACCTGGTTTCCAACCAATAATAGGTGTTCTCCAAGAAGAAAGTCTTTGAGCATATCTTCCATCACTATCATGTGCTAGAGGAAAAAACGACTAGAGGTTAATTGTATTTTGCATAATCAAGGTGAAATAAGAAAGATAACAGCTATAAAGATATCTTCAAGAAAAGTAAAACATCTATTATAATAGACAATACTCAATTTGAATATGCTAAAAAATTAAAATGCATGCTGTGGTCAAAAATAAGTTATATAACCAATTGGGTCACTGATATTGAAAACCTGAAATGGTCCACCTTAGCAAGAATCAACCACTGACCAATACATATTTCAAAGAGTTTTTATAATGTGACTCAAATATTTTTCAGCTATTATACTAAGGAGAGTTGGCTTATAATTTAATATGATTTATAAATTAATACTTACTAATGTAAATATACAAAGGCTTTCTAAAACAATTGGAGATTTCATGGAAAATCTTACATTGACTTCTTAACTATGACTTTCAAACTATATGTGTAGGTTTAGAATTAAAAATGTCAGCAACTATATTCCAAAAAATTATATATTTTTAAAATTTTTTCATATTTTTAAGTTCAAATCATGACACAATATAATAAGAGTAAGATTAAAGTTGTTCACAGTAGTCACAGAGGAAATTACATTGCTCTTTTGTATCTTGAAAAATAGGACAATCGTAAGTAGGTCATAAAGGCTCATAAAGGGAGAACTACAGCCTGGAACAATTGATATCCCTATTTCCTCTTGGTTTTCTGTATCAAAACAATAATGGCCTCAAAGTACTAAGTTATTGAAGTTCTCTATTTGTGAAAAAGGCAACTTAACCTTTTGCATCTTATAAATGTAGATATTTTTCTCGTTTGCCACTCTTTTTTTTAAACTTGGATTGTGATTTTTTTTCCCACATCTAAAATATTTTCCTTTTACTTCTCACATTAAGCAATACCAATATTTTCTTTCAGAGTTTCTAGAAAAACTAAGAAAGCTTTCCCCCTCCTTCAAGAACAGATGAGTTTTCCTTAATGTTTATCTTGGTAATTTTAATTTTTTAAAAATGCTTTCAGATAAACCGTGGAACTGGAGTTTTAATGAGGCTTGAAGTAGCTCAGCTATTTTGTTCATTCTAGAGTACTTTTTAAAATAAAATAAGATGTTATTAATAATTATGCTGGGACAACAAATATAAACAGGGACTATTCTGAGCAAATGAGGGTACATGGTTACCCAAGTTAAAAGGGAGACTTACAACATTTGGCTTCTAATTTGGGTTCTAGTGATAATTTGATCTGCAGAACTCTTCCATCTACCTAAGATGAACAATCAGTGCTAATTTCCAGAAAACATTAAGTTCTTCCAGAAATACCTGGGCTAATCTCCATGAAAAATAGGAAAGTTGGCACAAACACCTAGATAGCAGGTAAAAAAGCAATGTGAATATTGACTAATAATCCAAACTATCGTCGTCGTCTTCTTTACTTTTCCTCATGTCTTCCTACTTTTTGCCCTGATTACACCTAACTAGATTATTCAAGTCAACAAACATTAGCTGAGGCTAAGACCATGCCTACACAATTCTTCTCTTAACCTCCCAGTCCCCTTGGAACCACAGATGAATTCTTCAAAGTATCCTCTCCTGATTCCCTCCTACCTCTCTAACAGTGTCTCTCCATGGTGTTTTGGGTTGTATCTTCTTTTTGCAGCAATTACTGAAGTACCAGTTATCTTCCTTTCTCTGTTCTCTTTCACTACCTTGTTACCCGCTTTCCTGGGAATCACGGGATAGGGCAGACCAGGTTAAGCCTTCTTGTACGTGGACACCCATCTAAAGGGGGAGGGAGGGCAACATGCACCTCAGTGCTGAAAGAGTCACTGCTGATCCTACTCTCCCTAAATCCACTCATCCATTCCATGGCTTCAACCACTAGCTTTACACTGATCTTCAACAGCAAGACCTTTCTTCTTGACTCCAGCTCCACATTTCTGAGCAAATATTGAATTATACTTGGCCGTTTCCCAGTCTCCTAGAACTTAATACAGCCAAAACTTGGCTCATTCCTTTCTACACAGCTTCATTCTTTAGCCTGTATTTCTAATCCCAATTAATAGCATCATTTTCTACAACCTGACCCAATCATCACCATCTTCCTGCCCAACTCAGTTGGCCCTTAGCAAAAGCCAAATCTAAGCTATCCAGCCACCTCAAATTTACTGTATCTATCCTTTTTTTTTCCCATTCCCATAGCTTTCATCTAAATTTTTTTTTTTTCCTTTCTCATCTCTGGCCTAGATTTTTACCAACCAATGTGGCATCTCAAACTTCAGTGTCTCCTTGAGTCAATATATGCCCCATGGTACTGACAGTCATTTCTCTGTTCACAATCATGTCAGTTTTTTTCTCCCCCAAAATTCTTTAAATGACTAATACCTTCTGAACAAGGATTACTCTTTATCTTTTTGATTTAGTCTCAAGCTCATCCCCCATCACCGTCCCACTGTGTGGTCCAATCATGGGCACAGTGGAGAATCATTTTCTCTTTACTCTTCTGTGGACTTTCCGAGCAGACTGCGTGCTCCGTGAGTGAGACTCTGACTTTCATCCACCAGAAAGCTCCATCGGCTCTCCCTAGCTCCTATGTGGCTCCACACTGTGTCCTCTTCACTGTCCCCACTGTCTCTGTCTTCGTTCAGACCCTCCCTAAGTTCACCTGGACTGCTGCCACAGCCTCCTAACTGGTCCCTCTCTGTCTCTGTTCCAGCTCACAGGTAACACAGAATGAGCGCAAAGTTAGCAAAAGCAGAAAAGTTCCTCAAAGCTTTCAATACCTTTCTCACTTCTTCTGAATAGTCTCCCAGTTCCTTCATTAGCAAGGCCCATATAAAATGACCTTTTAACTCATCAGCCTCATTTCTTGTCATTCTTCCATTTTAAACCTCACCTCTGGCCACGACAATGAATTAGATGTAGTTTCCTAAATGAGCTCCACTCTTATGTAGCCACGTCTCTGCCTGAGTCTTTCAGCTTCACCTAGTGAACTCATTTTCCAGGACCATTCCAATCTAGGACCATCACCTCATCAATGCTACTATAGTAACCTGTGTATACTTCGATCACACTGTATAGTAACCACATGCACTTGCTTGCTTTTCCCCTTGAGAGATTCAGGCAACTTGAGCCCTGGAACTGTGTATGTATGTACTTTAATCTCTGTGTTCTGATATTGGATTGGTCAAAAAGTTTGTCTGGGTTTAAAAACCTGAACCAACTTTTTGGCCAATCCAATAATATCCTAGAAAAAGGATAGATACAAGGCAGACATTTAAAAAAAATTTTTTTTCAGCTCTAAAGCTCATTAGGTTTAAGAGGCTATTAATTTCTCCTCCACTTTCTCCTCTTTACTACTGCAAGTAAAATATTCCTTAAAGAGAGATATAATAAAAATATACTCCTAATTAAGAACATTCAAAATCTTTTTCCTTCTTTCATTAATTCACTCAACACACATTTACTCAACAGTCATTATGTGCCAGGCACTATGCAATGTGCTAGAGATACAAAATTAAAACACAACACAAGGCTTTATCTTAGTAGTGTGGAAAACGTGTTTTAAAAATCAGTTACAACACAGAGTGGCAAGCAGACCACAGGCACAGAACAAGATGGTACGGAAGCACCTGAATATTCAGGAGGTCCCGAAGACACCGCTTCCTAGGTGAAGTGCAGCAGAAGGGACGATAGTAACACAAGCAACAAAACTGAGTTTAATCAAGTCACCGTTCCGAGAACTGGCACAGCTCGAACCCTCGCTGACGGTAGGGGCCATCCGGGGACAGGCTACGGAAACCCCTCAGGACCACTGTGTAAAGTCCGCAGCAGCACTGCGGTCCTCAGCGTCTGTGTCACAAACGCCATGGCAACAGACACTGTGTTCAAGGGCACAGTGGCCCTCCCTGCTACCGACTTTCCTGCATTCTTCCATGCGGGGGAGACTTCTCAACCTTTGCTGCCATGGAGTGTTTCAAATTGTCACTTACGACAAAGTTTCCTGATTCTTTTTAATTCATTCCTTTCTACTACATGAACAGAGTGTGGTAGCACAAATGCTTGAAAATATTTTCCTTACAATCATGTTTTGGTCTTTGACAGACAAGATTCTTTATTCCTTTGTGCCTTATAAGTAACCTTATTTTCTGTTCTTTTGTTCCCTGCTTGTATAAGAGCATTAATGCTCTGGAAGAAAAATAAAACTGACGTTAGTTAATGGCCCATAGAGTGAAAAAAAAAAAAAAGGAAAAAGCAAATCCAGGCTATGCCTTTTGCTATGTCACGGGTAATTATAATTTGGACAGACTTCAACAATATTTAATCAAGACTTTTATGGAGAAAGAAGAATTTGCCTAGATATCTTTTATTGTTAATATAATGTAGGGATACAAATTATGGTACTCATAGGACAACAATGAGAATTGGGGAATGGCAGATGAAAATAATTTACTTTAATTCTCTCATTCCTTAATATAGAGAAAATGGTAAGAAGTACTTCAAACATAATTTTTAAATGTGGGATTATAATATATATTCAAATTGCTGGCCAAATATTAGAGAAATATTTAAGTATGTTTTATATTATAAAATAAATACATGACCACATGACAGAAAATCTGGAAAAGAAAAAAATCCTTTCATATTATGAATAATTTTCTTTTGAAAAATTTCTTATTAAAGTGAACATCTATAATACAGCTTTCTGGGCCCACACTTATTTCTGTGTCTTAGTGGAAGCACCATATACAAGTGGAAATTTGTCTACTCTGGTCCACTGAAAAAAGATTTAAAAAAGTAAAGAATAGAAAGATACTAGGCATTTTCAGAAAAAGGAAAGAAACATGAGGAAAATAATACATAGAACACATCCTTCTTTCAATTACTTGAAATGATTTAACTAACAAAAATGCAGGAGAATGAATGTGAGTGCTTTTTGTTTTTAATTTAATAATATATTCATTTTACTTAAAGTATAGTTATGTTTGCATATAAATTTATTACTCTAATCATTGCAGCAACTCTTTCCATTCTCAAGTAACTTTGGAAAGAATTTATAACTTTACAATGGAATAATAAAAGATGTTTCAACACTTCATTCTGCAACATCCAAATGAAACTTAGCAGATTACAAACATAGACATCAGTTATACTTGAACTGGAGTTAATTTCCACAATGTAAGAGGTGATTTATTTACCCATGAATGCAAACTCCTGATCTTACCTGGATGTTGTCATAGAACAAAACATCAGGCACTTTCATTTTCTCGTGGGCATTATAGATTGGTGCACTAACCGCGCCAATCCTCAGAGATCCAGAAGAGACTTCACCTAAACATTTCACATAGGACAGAGAATTACTTGTAGCCCTGTCCTCAGAGAAGCCAAGTCCAGCCTGAACAGGATACAATATAGCATCTTTAACATTTTGTAGGCTCATCAAGGAATTTTAATCTAACATCTAAAAGAAATAAGCTTGAAGGTAGTAATTAAACATCATAGCTTTGCAAAAAAAATCTTAAAAGCTCTACAAAAAGGCTGACGATGTTTCAAAATATCAAAAATTTTATTTAAAACAACATACAGAGCAAGCAACATATAGATAAGATTGAGATGGAAAAACCCAGAACTCAGTCAAGCCACCTTTATGAGCTGTTTGGTCAGAGACTCTAAAATACATACATTTGAAAATTCGGAAGTACCATGAATATATTCTTTCTTTTTTTAGAACCCATAGAAGAATCCCCTAGAGCTCTAGTCAAGAATACAGATGAACTGACCCCAGACCTTTCAAACCACTAGTTTTAGGAAAGGTCCAGATCTGTATTTCCAAATAAGCACCGCAGGTGCTACAGTTGTTCTGTGATGATTATACTGCATTGTCCCCTATTTGCTTTAAATAGTTGGTCTAGAATAGAAAATGAGCTCCTTAAAGCCATGAAACTAAGTTACAAATTTCTTCAAGTCAGGGGACATATCTCACATGAATTCTCTATGGTAAGCAGATACACATACTCAATACATGACACATTTGAAGGTCCATGATAATAACACAATAATTTTAGTTGTTGTAGTCATATTGACCATAATAGAAGCTATTATTTATTGAGGACCTTCCATGTGCCAGACCTCAGCTTCGGCTCATTGTTTTCTCACATGATTTCATTTAAATCTCTTAACAAGGGAACAAGAATTATGAGGAAGCTAAGAAGAACATGAATTAAATAATTTGCTTAAAATCACCCAGCTATAGGTAGAGCTAAAAACAGAATTTAGTATAGGATGCTGTTCTTTCTGGGCTTCCCAGGTGGCTAAGTGGTAAAGAATCCATCTGCAAGCAGGGAGACAGGGGAACCCTGGGTCAGGAAAATCTCCTGGAGAAGGAAATGGCAACCCACTTCAGTGTTCTTGCCAGGGAGATCGCAGGGACAGAGAAGCTTGGTGGGCTATAGTCCACAGGGTGGCAAAGAGTCAGTTAGGACTTAGTGACTAAATGACATCCACAACGATGTTCTTTCTGCAGTGTGATCTCCAAATAAATCTCACCCTGTGGATATACCTGAGCAAGCAGGTAGACAATTACGTCTTAGGCAACTGTCTCATCTTTCCTCCCTTCTCTTTAAAATGAAAAATTGGCTATTTTTATGGTAGAACATTTTGAAAGACAAGGAGAGAAACCAATATTTGCTTCTATGGAGTACCATGAACAATTCTGAGGTTAAAATAATTACACTCCCAGCCTGTTTAATCACCACTGAGTGCTACACATTTGCCAAAACATAGTAGACCTCTCCCTCCAATAGCTCCCTGCCATTTCCTTTCATTCAAAAGTTCTATTGGCGGAGAAAACCATGATCTGCCATGCCGAGAATTTACTATTTACTTACTACTTTCAGGTCTCTGAAAGAAAGAAAGTAAAGTCGCTCAGTCGTGTCCGACTCTTTGTGACCCCATGGACGGTAGCCTACCAGGCTCCTCCATCCATGGGATTCTCCAGGCAAGAATACTGGAGTGGGTTGCCATTTCCTTCTCCAGGAGATCTTCCCGACCCAGGGATTGAACCCGGGTCTCCCGCACCGCAGGCAGATGCTTTACCATCTGACCCGCCAGGAAGTCTGCCAGGTCTCTGAAATAGACCCCATACAAAACTGTAAAGGGAAAGACCAGGACTGTGGCAGTGAGTTTACTACATACTCGTATGCTGAGACTTAGTTTATGAAAGATACCAATTCAGTAGATTTAGGACTTTAAGAACATTTAAATAACTCAGCCAATGTTTACTGCTACAATTGCAAGCTAGAAAAGGGAAAGTCACCCAGAGAATGGTGATGGTAGTACTTCCCTGGTGGAAAGGTGGCTAGCAGTCTTCTAAGAAATCTCACAGGATGGCATTAATTTGGTAAATTTGTCAAGGTCCTCAGTCCAGTAGGCTCAAAATCTGATTTTATCCTTACAACAGAGGGCACACCCAACTCCCAGGAGAATGTTAAAGACATATATTTTAATCTATAGATAAATTGATACATAAAACCAGAACTGTAATATATTACATTGCAATGAAAACTGAAAATTTCATATAGACTACATGATATATTGTTTCCATATCAGCATTTTATTCAGAAGGAGACTTGCATGGAAAGCCAAATCCTTATCAGAAGGCTGTTTGGTGAACCTCATCCTCTGAACAGGAGGATAAATTACAGGAATTCTCTACAAGAAAGAAGATATTAAAGATGAATGGGACCAGATAAGTCAAAAGCCTCTTAGTTTCCTTATCTCCCTCCTACACAAGGCTTAGATGGGAACTGCCAACACTGGCTTATTACTGAGACTAAACAATCTATCATTTGAATGATGCAATCTTTTTTTTTTGGAGGGGAGGGATATGTTGAAGGATTCAATCAAGTGCTGTTATGAATCTCCAAGTCCCAGAGTTATTCTGTCTCTGAGTTGGCTCTGCATTTCTGTAGCTAGATCCATTAGTATGTTGACTTTATAGTTTTACTGTAAAAAAAAATCACCTTATCTCCTTAATATAAAGTTCTCGTTTCAATGTATCTTCAACTATTAAAAACATCTACTGCAAAGAAAGTCACACTAAGTCCCTTAAGAGAGTGATCACACATTGGATATTTTTATAAGACAGTTAATGACCCTCAAAAAACAGAGAACCTGTCATTGTGAAGAACAGGGTACTTTTACAGAAAGATCCAAACCTCCCCCAAACTCAAATCATACTTATGGTTATCCAGAAGAGAAGTAGCATAAAAGACAATCAGGTAGAAATGAAAGAGTAAGAAGACATGAAGTGATACTCAGAATATTATTTTAGTCTACATCAACCTAGACAGTTTCCCAAACATGTCCTGTAGGACACTGGTGGTCCCCAAAATGTAAATGCTGTGCAAAGAGAACAGAACACTAGGTCCTATGGTGAAAGACCCTTGAAATAAAAGGTAAAACAAAGTTACATGTTTATTTACAGCAGGAATTATCTGAGCTTTTAATATTCATGTCAATTGTGACCTCTTGGGGGAGGACCTACATCTGGTATGCACTGAAATAAAGGAAACATTTTTTAAAATAAAAGATTCTTCAACACAATACATGAAACAAAATGGGTGGAGACCAAAAACATTTTTAATTGAAATAATAATAATAATTTATTCCATTATTATTAATATAATAATATGTAGCTCAGATGGTAAAGAATCCGCCTGCAATGCAGGATACCTGGGTTTGATTCCTGGGTTGGGAACATACCCGGGAGAAGGCAACAGCAACCCTCTCCAGTATTCTTGCCTGTAGAATTCCATGGACAGAGGAGCCTGGCAGGCTACAGTCCATGGAGATGTAAAGAGTTGGACACAACTGAGCAATTTTCATACACACACACACACACACACACACACACACGTAATAAATAATACAAATGTTTAGTAATTCACTTAAAAGACAAACAATTCAAATACTTACATTTGTAATCCTCCAAATCAGACTCCGGACTATTATCAGTACTTATTTCTATTGCAGCATCTGCCAGATTTTTTTCTAATGCTGACCTTGCAAGGCTTGGTAAAAACCTGGTGGGGTAGGAATGATGGATTGATAAAGTCAAAGCTTTCTGTGATTCCAAAATATCTTCTGAAACTTAGACAGACACATGACCAATTAAGGATGATCTGTCTTGATCTGTGAAATCTTAATAATAAAATACTTTAGAATAAAACTCAAGCATGTATGAAGATGAAGTATGTTTATTAAATCTCCTTTAATAAGGAAAACTAATGTTTAATTGTGGCTTCCCAGGTGGCACAGTAGTAAAGAATCCACCTGCCAATGCAGGAGACACCAGAGACATGGATTCAACCCCTGGGTCGGGCAGATCCCCTGGAGAAGGAAACGGCAACCCACTCCAGTATTCTCGCCTGGGAAATCCCATAGACAGAGGAGCCTGCCAGGCTACAGTCCGCAGGGTCACAAAAGAGTCGGACACAACTTGAGCAATGGACAATGTGTAATTAGCACTATTTGTTTCTATACAATAGTCTGCAGGACATAATTTACTTTTTAAAATGGATTTGGTATAACTTGTAAATCTTGTTTATCATTTACCTGACTTTTCCAGTTTTCTTAAATAGATAAAACAACCCCACTTTAACGTTCTTTAAACTGGCAATCACAAATTCAAATTAGCAAAGGTGGATGAATGAGGTTTTCTTTATTTTCTAACACAAATTAGAACATATATAACAAATTACTGTACGACTTTAAGATTATTCAGTTTGGTTTTTCCTTCCATTAAAAATATATATACCTGCTTGTCTATTCCATACCTATGTTGTCAAAACAACCATCTAGTGAGTGACAGAGGCATACTTCAATTACAAACAGATTACATGAACATTATGGGCTTAGAACATGAAAACAGAGTTTCCTTCCCACACAAAATTATGTGTCATGATGTTTCAATAAACATACTGAGAACTTGCACTTTTTTTTTTTTTGGCCATTCCACACGGCTTGCTGGATCTCAGTTCCCCCAACCAGGCACTGAATCTGCACCCCCTGCAGTGGAAGCTCACAGTCTTTACCACTGGACTGCTGGGCAAGTCCCAAGAACATAAACTTCTAAACGGTGTTTTCCATAGCTCTAAATCTCTGGTGGCTCCCACAGGCTTGAGTATAAGCATAAATAAAAGAGATGCTGGTGTGAGTAAGAAAGCAAAAGCCTAAGTATGTAAAAAACGGTTGGGTTTCCCGTCCCTGTAACATTCCAAACCACATATCTGAAGCCAACCATCTCTCGCTGACTGCCTCATTTTGGTTTTGGGCTGTGATGGCGGGTGGCGGGGTTCATCAGCTCAGCATCAAGTGAGGCTTACTGCTGTTCTCTGACCTTTCATCATGGTTTTCAGATTGATGCCTTGTCATTCAAAGCTAACCCTCACTTCCTCTCTCAGACCTGGTACACTGGGCTTTTGTCTTACTTCCTGAGCCCTTGTCGTGGCACCCTGCCCTACCTTTCTCTCATCACTGTCTCATGAACATCATGCCCTGTGGCTGCATATCCACTGATTGACAATGACATGTCAAACCACCTTGACTGACATGATCGTTTCCAAGCTTAGACATTGTGTGCCATTCCCAGAAACCATTTATGTCTATATAATCTGTATGGCAACCTCTCCTCACATTGTCCCTGTACTAAACTGTTCCAAACCGCCCTCCGAAGCCTGAAGAGGACAGCAAACAAGGCGTGTGTGTCTCCGTTTCAATGGCAATGACAGGTATCGCTTGCAATATGGTACTCTCGCCTGCTGAAAGTGAACATGCTTCAGATTTATTTGCAACCACGTACCAGACAGCCCCACCAAATAATCAGAAGTAGCACGGAAGTTTAAATACATTTACAACTAGAACCTACATTCTCAAAAACATTAGACCACTCGAACAAATGAGGAAAATGAAGCATATCAGGCAATAGGAGGCCAACCCTTAGCTCTTCCACACTGATTTACTAATGCTACTTGTAACATATATTAATACCAAGTTCCCAAAAATATGTGGGAATACCTGGTTCAGGGTCTAGAGTCTATTCTAATGCTCTATTTGTCTTTTCTCGCACCAACATCACATTTAAAATAAATATAGCTTTATAATGGATTTTGATATCTGGTAGAGAAAGTGTATCTCCTCAATCTTTCTCAAAATTTCTTTGGATATTATTGGCCTTTTATATTAAATTCAAGATAAACTTGTCTAATTCACTGTAACCTTGGTGGTATTTGACCAAACTATATCTATGTATCAATGTAGGGGGAAAAAACAGCTTGTAAGGGAAAATACTTCATCTTCTGTTTTATGAACATAGTATAGTATCCGATTTCGCACAGCAATCTCTTACAACTTTTAATAGAGATTCATGCTTTTTTCCATAAAAGCATTATATGCCACTCAATTTATTCTTAGGTTTGCAAAACTTTCTATTATTATTTTGAATGGTATTATTTTTTAAAAAATTCAACTTCTTTATTGATTTTTACTGGAATATATGGATAGGAATATCACTGACTTGGGTGTATAAGTAATATCATTATATTCCATCTGTTCTAAAACATAGTTTACATGAAGCTTCTCTTGAATTTTTTATGTAGCTAATCATATAATTTTTAGCCAATCTAAAAGTACAAGAGGCAACATTCTTGTTTAGTGCCTAACTCTATAAAGTAATATACCCTAAGAATGTTTGCTATAAATTTTTAGTACCTACCCTTTATCAGATTAAGAACTTCTCTTTGATTCATGGTTAGCTAAGCATATTGTTTGTCTACTTTTGCTGTGGTTTGTTTCCAAGTTTGGCTGCTGAGTTCTATCAAACCCTTTTTAATGATTTATTAAAATGAAAATTTTCTCAGTAATATGCTAATATGTAATATGTTACTACGCTTTCCCTTGTGGCTCAGACAGTAAAGAGTCTACCTGCAGGGCAGGAGACCCGGGTTTGATCTCTGAGTCAGGAATATCTTCTGGAGAAGGAAATGGCAACTGACTTCAGTACTCTTGCCTGGAAAATCCCATGGATGGAGAGGCTGGCAGGCTACAGTCCATGAGGTCGCAGAGAGTCAGACTCGACTGAGTGACTTCACTCTCACTCACTCATGTTAATATGGTAAATTTAAAAAAAGAATATTGAAATTTCCTCACATTCTTGAGGTAACTCCAGGTTGCTCATAATTTATTTATACAGATAATTATATATAATATGTATCTACATTTGGTTTGTTAGTATTTTATTTAGGACTTCTGTACACGTTCCATGAATGTGATTTATAATTTTCCTTTCATATGTTATTCTTACCTGGTTTAGGTATTAAGACTAGACTCAAAGTGAATTACTATGTTTTCACTGTCTACTCTCTAGAATGGCCTCCAAAATGCTCTGTGTATGATTATTTCATTCATTCCAAAGCACTACTTTCCCTTAGGCTTTGAAACTCTTTATATTACTTAATATTGACTATTTACTTCTATTAACTATAACTTAGTTCTGACTAAGAAAACACTGGCTAGATAACAAATCTATCTTCCTGTATGTACTTTCTTCAGCTCATGACCCTAAAAAATAGGCAATTGAAGCATTTTTTCTAATTTTCACTTAGAAGTTGAATTATCTACTTAAGAGAATCAACTTTATTATTTCTCATGATTATTAGTTATTCAAAGAATTACTTCAAAGCACTGGAAACGAGCCTCACTTTCGCCTCATTTCACCACAGAACAAACTGAAGTTGCAACACAAGGCACTTACTTTGACTACAAGAAACTTGTCCACTAAAGCTGAAAATGTATAGAGGGCAGTTAAGAGATTTTCCTAAGCTGAATACAGTTTCTCTTTTAAGTCCTCTAATGTATCAAGGCATGAATGGACAACAGTTATAATCACCAGAAAAATAATTGAAAGATCACGTGAACAGAGTCTAAAAGAAATCTTCAGGTCGATTGGATGGTGTTATTAATCTTTTCTAACTACTCTTTTAAAATAGTTTCATGTAAGCATGGTTCTGTAAGGAAATTCTATAAGTTAGTGTTTAAAATAATTTTCAAACAAGTATGAAAAACATTAGGGGAGACTGAAAAGATGCTAGTTTTTTCATACGTGGGCAACAGGACATGTCATACTACCCCGCATGGAAAGTTCCAGTGCAAATTTGGGAAGTGCAATGTGTAATGCTTAAGACCTCTCTCTCAGAAGACACATGAACCAGCATTCAAATGCCAAACCTACTTTTCCTTATTCACTACTGTCTGATCTGAGTAAGTAACTTAGCTTTATCATGTATAAAAATTTCTTTATTATTATGCCTAAGTAAGATAATGTAGGGAAACACTGCATACAAGGCTGAAAAAGCTACATGTTCAGACTGATAACTTTTTCCAGACCTGTGACCACAGACTATCAAACTTCTGTGTACTATTTTAGCAAAGACCCAGAGAGTTGGATTCAGTGAGAAAGGAGAACATGGTTACCTGGAAAGACAGGCTTTGGTGACAGCGTTGTGAAGGTTCTCGTTAGGGTACTGTGACAGGCGACGAGAAATCCTCAACAGCTGTCTGGTAGAAAGGGATGCAGCCAGTGATTGTGCCTGCCAAAAGGCAAAGACAGGCTGGTAAAGAGTTCTGTTTCAACTTGCTGAAAGTGCCTTTGGATGGGTATCATAACAGAATTCATTATTCCTGAATGACAAGGCCAAACTTAACTATGTACTTACTGTTAATGAATTACAAATAAACAAAAACCAATTTACACTTAAAACATCCTTAAAGATAGCTTTAAAAAAAATCCATGAAAAGTATTTATTAATTAAATTCAATTAAAGTGTTGTGTATACATTTTGTATACATTTTCTTCCCTCTGAGAAGGGGAAGGAGGTTGGATAGAGGAAAGATGTTACATTGTACAGACTGAACCTGACTTACAGATAGCCCTTATGTACAGCTAACTGGGGCTTCACCAATGGCTCAGTGGGTAAGGTATCTGCTTGTAATGCAGGAGACACAGTAGAAGAGGGTTTGATCTCCAGGTCTGGAAGATCCCCTGGAGCAGGAAATTACAATCTACGGCAGTTTTCTTGCCTGAAAAGTCCCACGGGCAGAGGGACCTGGCTGACTACAGTCCATGGGGTCACAGAGTTGAACAGGACTAAGTGAATGAACACACACACGCTCATTTCCACTCCCACCCCCCTTATACAAAGCAAAGCTGTTAAGACAGCCAGAAAATGCTTAGAGCTTTATGTAAATATCTGGCTTCTGAAATAGAGAAAAAGAGTTGTGGTCAATTTAGGCTGCTGATCACAGAAGTGTTAGACAGTTATCACCTGGGTGGCAGCTTACAGTTCGGAAACCTTCTCCTACACTGTTAGAATAATTTCACTTCATATTCTTATTCTTCCCCAAACTCCATTAACAGAGCTGCTAGTAAAGAGCTCAGGACATCGTTAAGTACCAATAAACATTTGTGGACTTGAATTTGAAATTATCTTAGCAGACAGCATAATGCAACAGTAGAGCTTATAAGCTTTGGAGTCAGATAAATCAGTCTTCCATTTATTAGCTATGTGATTTTTGGCAAGTTACTTAATCTCTTCAGGCCCCAATTTCCTCATCTTTAAAATGACAATAAGAAAGCCTTCACTTTTAAGTGTTATGAGTATGAGGATTAAATTAGAAAATTATTCTAAAGCACTTAGCAGAGGTCAGACACATGAGGGCTCAACAAACAGCAGCAATTATTATTCAAAGTCAGCCTCCTCAAAATGAAAAAAAAAAAGAAAAAACCTAACAGGAAACGGGATCTACACGTTAATAGAAATCCAATGCATCAGATTGTTACTGGCCTAATTCCTAACTTGGATCACCAGCATTAGAAGATAGTAGTTTTCACTGAAAATCAAGAGGAGAACTTTTAAAGAAACTGGTCCTCTGGGGTAGGGGAGGGACAGAAGAGGCCAGGGTGAAATGTCACAGAGTCTGACCAGGGCAGTTAAGTGGCCCTGAGCCTCTGAGGAAAGGGAAAAGGGACTCTTATCAAATTAACGAAGGATTCAGAATGGATGGTGGGAGGATGCTAAAACTACACTACACATTTGTTCCTTTTAACACTTTGCTTAAGGTCATCTCTGCACCTCCCAAGGAAGCAAAAAAAGAACTGATTGCTCCTTCCTCATGTATTTCACAGTTCCATGAGATGCAGGTCTGCTGTTATTAACATTATATTTCACTACTACTTGGATTAAACACTCCTTTGGGGACTAGGTTAGAAGTATGACCACTATTTATGACATATCCTTTTTTCTATTAAAAAACACATTCTAAGTTTCAGGGACTTTATAAGCAAAACATTTGGTTCAGACTTGTTCAACAAATTTGCATTCTAGACACAGAGACAATATTTAAATATAAAAAAGCATAAAGTGCAATTCAAAATAGCACATAATTTAATGCAAAAATAAGTGGAGCACTTGACAACTGCTATAGGGGCTTAAAAATGTTCAAGTGGGTAGGAGAAACGCTATGAACAAAGGGAGGAAAGCAACAAGAACAGAAATACATGCAGAATGTAAGGAAACCAGCCCAGCTTTACTAGAGGGTCCTGCTGGAAAGTTTACTCCCAAATATCAAAGATCCATGAACTATGCTTTAAGGAGTTGGTGTTTCTTCTAAAGGCAATAGGACTGTGCTATGTGCAAAGCAGTAACATGGTTTTAGAAAGACTAATCTGGCAGTAATAGTCAAAGTAGTTGAAGGACAAAGAACTGAGGCAGGAATCAGAAGGGTACTTCACTTACTATAAAGAGATAAAGTCCTATAGTTAGGTTACTGGCAAGAAGAAGGCAGCTATTGTTCAGCCGCTAAGTCATGTCCGATTCTTTTGGTGACCCCGTGGACTGTCGCCCGTGAGGCTACTCTGTTCATGGGATTTTCCAGGCAAGAATACTGGAATGGGTTGCCATTTCCTCCTCCAGCTTATCTTACTGACCCAGGGATGGAATCCATGTCTCCTGCATTGGCAGGAGGATTCTTTCCCACTGAGCCACCTGGAAAGCCCAATAAGAAAGGAGAGAAGGGATTAAACAAATGTTTCAAAGGACTTGGCAATGGATGGATATGAGACAGTAGGAAGAATTAAGGGTAAGATTGTTTTAGCTAGTATGACTGAAAGTGTCAGAAGTTAGATATGACTTAGCAATTCCCACCCAATACTTGAGACCAAGAAAAATTCCTATTTTAATCATGGAAAATGTTTGACAAATGACTCCCACCAGTGGATTCCATGACAAGAGTCCCATTAAACCACATGGTAACTTTCCAGGTTAATATTCTAGTCTAATTCCAAACATGACACTGAATTCGGGCTTCGTATTTCATTCCAGTGATCAAGAAGGACTTCTCATGAGTTTGAAAAATACTGAGTCAGTTGATAATACCAAAATGCTTTACAATAATATCCAGTATTACATCAGAAAGAAGCTTTAGGTTGAGCCACTTAAGTGTTGAATAAAGGGTTTGGCTGTTTCTTGTCTCACATTACCAATGAAAAATTGAGAAAATTTAAAAATTTTAAAAATTTAAAAATCCTAATACACTTAACATTTATCATATCAAATTTCTAACTGCAGTTTTATCTTCCAAAATAGGGTAAGGATGTGAGCATATTGAAGAGCACACCTCAAGGGTTTTTTGGATTAACATGATTAATAACAGCAATTCAGTTTAGAAATATGAGGGGTTTTAGATAAAAAATTATTTAAAAAATAAATTCTTTTTTTCCTCTTAAAGAGTTATTTTTTATGAAAATGTAATGTTCTCTGGGAGAGAACACTCTGGGGAAAACCTATTAATTAATAACTAATTTATTCATGCATTCGTCAAACATTTGTTAACTTTCTATGACGTGCCAGGCACTAGGATGGGAGATGGTTGATACAAAAAAGACACTTGACCCTCCTTTGTCTCCCTGAAAGCAGGAAGTGAACCGCCAACGAAAAAAACACCCTCCCTGTACCAGGAGCCTAGGAAGCATCCTTACCACCAGAAACAGGGAATTTAGGGCTGAGACGGTTTCTTTTCTCACTAAATTACCACCCCAAGCCCAAATGTCTTTGTGTTGTCAATTCTTCATGATTTTATTGTTTCTTTGTCTAAAAGGTATAAAAGCTGCCTGCTTTGGTCCCTTCTTTAAGTACCAGATTTTTATGGGGCTCCTGCATCTACAAAATTAAATCTGTTGTTTGGCTCTTGTTAACCAGTCTCATGTCAATTTAATTCTTAGGCCAGCCAAAGAACTTAAAGGAGAAGAAGGGAAAAGTTTTCTCCCCTTTACCATCCCAAACATAAACAGAATCAGAAATAGAGAATCAACAAGGAAAGAGAAATTAGAAGCTAGAAAGTTGTTGGCATCCACACAGAGGTGATACTTGAAGCCATAAGAATACATGAGATTGCTCAGCAGAGGAGACAGAGGAGCAGAGCCAAACTCCAGGAACACCCAGGTACTCCTCTAGAGCTAAAACTTGTTTTCTGTGACACCAGCCAGGAGAAGCTGGAAGAAATGTGAAGAATCATTGAAACAGTAACATATACACATAGAAAAAAGCACAACAGAAGGGATAAAAATATCAGCTTAAAAAATAGATTTTAAAGTACTGAACTCTAAGAATATAAAGCAGAAAGCAGCCTGTCAACAACAGAAAATTCTATGGAGAAAACCCAGACTTACTGTTGGATCCTGTGTCTCTCTGAGTTTGTGCGTAAATGACAACAATTTGTCCAAAGCTTCCGGAGGCATATTTGGGACCTATTTTATGAGAGGATTAAGGAAAGAAAGAATAAATTGGGATATATGATCAAGCAACCAGAAATTATGGCTACTTATCAAACAATATTAAAATTATGTTTTTATAAAGTCTCTGATTATAGGTATCATGCTTAACCTGTGGATAAAGTTGCTTATTCATCTTCTCAGGAAACACTTTTGCCTCTGTTTTCTCTTTAAGAATCAGATCAAGAAGATGTGGTACATATATACAATGGAATACTACTCAGCCATAAAAAAGAATAAAATAATGCCATTTGCAGCAACATAGGTGCAACCAGAGATTACCACACTAAGTGAAGTGAAGTCAGAAAGAGAAAGACAAATACCATATAATATCACTTATATAGGGAATCTAAAATATGACACAAATGAACCTATCTATAAAAATAGAAATAGAATCACAGACATAAGAGAATAGACTGGAGGGGGGGAGGAGGGAAGGGGAGGAGGGATGGAGAAGAGGGGGGTAAGGGATGAATTGGGAGTTTAGGATTAACAGATGCAAACTGGTATGTATAGAATGGGTAAGCAATAAGGCCCTACTGTATAGCCCAGAGAACTATATTCAACAGCCTATGATAAACCAGAATAAAAAAGAGTATGAAAAAGAATGTATATATACGTATAACTGAGTCACTTTGCCATACAACAGTAATTAATACAACATTGTAAGTCAACTATACATCAATTAAAAAAAAAAAAAGAATCAGGTAAAAACAGGCCATTCTTCATTTACAATTCTATCATAAGGATAAAACTGAAAGGAACCTCTAACCAATTAAAAACTGGCACATAGTGCACCATAAGAAACTTCTCATTTATCACATCCATTTTTGTTAGCTTCAACTCTAATTCAGGCATTTTTCTTACTAAACCAAACTCCTTCATTTAGCAGCAACCTTACACCTATGTCTACTAAGAGACTTAATATATCCTCGTATAAAGGGAAGATGCTCAAACTGTCCATTTTTTCAAGGACTTAAAAACCTGTTATAAACCATAATGGAAAAGAACATGAAAAAGAATGTATACATATATATATATGTGTGTGTGCGTGTGTGTGTATATATGCATATACACACATATATGCATTTCTGAATCACTTTGTTATACAGCAGAAACTAACACAACATTGTAAATCAACTGTATTTCAGTAAAATAAATACGAAAATAATCCGCACATACCTGAGGGGCATGATCTACTTATCAATGAAATATAAAGAACAGTTGCCCGAAAACATATATTCACTGCTTTTAAGTACAGAGTTTAATTTAATATGTATTTGAGTTGATAAGAAGAAAATTTTACTTAAACAATAACAAAATTAAAATTTTAACTTAAAAAGAGCAGAAGGAGATGTTAGAATAATGATTGGTATAACATGACAATTTCAGAAACAAACTGTTCATGGTTTCTCTGTGCATTTAAGTACTTTGAATTTTTAAAACTCAAAGCTCTATACAATATATACTCATTCATTCTTTAAATCAATTCTGTGATGTAATAAATAGTATCATCCCCATCATCAGATGAAGAAAATATAGTTGAGTAATTTACCCAAGATCCAGAAGCTAATAAGTAGTGGATCTGACATTTAAAGGCAAGTTTTTTGACTTTAAAGTCTACACCCTTATCCACAACCACGCTCATAAGACCTAAAATTAAATAATTCAATCTAATATTGCAAAGGGGATGAGTGTAGTTACTAGTGATCTAGAATAGTACTGTCTAGCAGAATATTCTACAATGATGGAAATGTTCTTTATGCTATCGGCATGCCATGGCCACTTGAAATAAGACTGAGCAACCAAATTTTTAAATTTGATTTAATGTGGCTAGTGCTACTACACTGAACAGTGAAGTCCCAGAATTCCAAAAGTGCTAAATATAACGCTTGGTTAAGACAGACACCACAATAATAGATAACGAGCACTACAAGCCACTAGACAGCTAACCAGTTAAGTATAGGCTATATTACAATCCCAAGGTAACCGGAAATACCTAGGATTTTCTACAAAACCTATGGAACTAAAATATATTTGGCCTCCTCTTGTAGTTGGAGGAGGAAATGGCAACCTACTCTAATATTCTTGCCTGTGAAATCCCACGGACAGAGGAGCCTTGTGGGCTTCAGTCAATGAGTTCGTTAAAAGTTGGACATGACTTAGCGACTAAACCACCACCACCACCACCACCCCTTTTAGTAGGAGCTTTAAATAGTCACCTTTGGCTGAATCTAAAAGGAAAAAGAATCCCCAAACTTTCTCCACAGGAGGAAAATGGAAAGACAGCCCAAATGCCTGGTTCTTAGAGTGTGGTCCCCTGACCAACAGCACCAGCATCGCCTGAGTACTTCAGACATGTAAATTCTCATTTCCATCCCAGAATCACTGGCTCGGCGATCTATAATTTAACAAGCCCTCTAGATGATCCTGAAAAGTTTTGACATCTGAGAACCATTTTATAAGGAAATTTGGAAATAAACAGTGAGAAAAAGCCAAAAATATCCAACTCTTCTCAAGCAGGTGTCAAAAATGCCTTAAAAAGAGAGTAACTGAAGGCAACAGGCTTGTGCTGGCCTCACTCTTACCATTTCCTTAATCACTTGGATTTCTTCACTTTTGACAAGTGGTTTCATGTAATGGAAAAAGAACATGGTTAAGAATTCTGGCCCCAGCCACTGCTGTGTTGTGCTTCCAATAACAGGGGGTTCTGCCAAGGCGATGATTCTGAAGGAGGGGTGAACAGGAAAAATCGATCTAAAAGGGAAAAAAAAGCTTTTTAAGCATAACCTTTTGTGTTAGAAATTAGGTCACAGTAGCTAAAGCCTAGACTATAATAAGACTATGGTACAGATAAAGCTATTACCCAAAGAACAAGCTTTGAAAAACAAAGGTCAGGACATTCTAAAAACCTAAGATTAAAACAAAAGAAAAATTACCAAAGGTTAATATATGATGTACCGTGTCAACTGATGAAACTCCATCCCCGGCATGAATCACTGTTTTGGGGAACACGAATCCATGTTTTGGATATGTTGTTATACCTACAATAAATCTACTTCACAATCCCTTGAAGAAGAAAGTGAAAGTCACAGTCGTGTTCGACTCTTCACAACAGCATGGATGATACAGTCCATGGAATTCTCCAGGCCAGAATACTGGAGTGGGTAGCCTTTCCCTTCTCCAGGGGATCTTCCCAACCCAGGGATCGAACCCAGGACTCCCACATTGCAGGCGGATTCTTTACCAGCTGAGCCACAAAGGAAGCCTGATAGTCCCTTGAAATATAACACCAAACAGTTCATATTCATTACATAGGTCCCCTGTCTTTGTCCAAAATCTTCTGTCTTGCAAGGAACTTCTATGTCAGTCATAGAAAGACCAAGAAGCATAACTCAGGATGAAGAGACTTTTTACAATGCAGAAAATTTAAGTAGCATAGGGGATCAGATTAAAATTCAAATTTGGATTGGCAATAAGAATACTTAGGTCTTTAAAAGGTGGAGAAAAGAAAAAAAAAAAGTAAAAGAAAAAAATAAATAAAAGGTGGAGAAAAGTGAACTTCTATGTAATTCACTCGTTTGTCATTTAAAAGGAAACAATATGATTTTTACAGTGATCTCTTTGATAAATCACTGTTAGGGAATCTGAAGATGTAAATATATGATAAGATTTCCTATGGTTTGTGAAATGAACTTGAGTAGTTTCAGAAGAAGGAGCTAGAAACCCTTTATCATGATCTAATCATGAGTAATATCAGTTCTTATCAATTTTCAAAACTAGTGCAAATAGACCTTTTGCAGGTTGTATCATCCTTGCTGAGAAAGGAGAAATGAAACTCAAACACTTGCCAAGATCTTCAGAAAAACAAAAATAAAGGGACCTAAACGGCATTTCTTCATTGTCATCAACTATTACGATAGAACTCCACAGTTACGTGGCTGGGCAATGAGACTATCAGGAGATAAGATATGTGTAGAGAGAATCAGATAAATACTCTGAAGATTTCAGATCAGAAAAAGTCCTCCCAATACAATAGGAAGGTTCACTGAGTCCCTGACAGTATGATTTAGAATTTTAGAGGGCCACAGCATCATTTGTAAGCCAGGGAAAAGCAGTTTTTAGGAATGATCATATGAAACGTCTAGATGAGTTCATAAAAGCTACTAAATACCATTTCATTTCGCTAGGTGGGGGGCGGGGGGAGACTTATTTATAGATACTCATGCATAGCATGGGGATGATCTGTCCAAAGAAGCTGTACTAGGAAAAGAGAAAAGGATAACAACACAGACAATGACTTGAGAGTCCTAAGGATGGCACGATCACTCAGGATTGCTAGAAACTACAGTCACACAACAAAACCTGGACAGAAAATGCTATGATCTGAAAAGAGAAGATTATTCCATTTTCCACTTCTGTTAAGTGGTTTGCCATAATCCAGAAAGTCTGCTTCAGGGCCCAGCAACAGATGTCGGATTCATCTTTGATCCTCTTCTCTCCTAGCTGGGACAAAAGAAGGTGGGAGAGACAGAGCCTGCTTATTTGTACTTTGCTCAAAATTAAAGCTGCAGATGTAGTTTTCCACTCAAGATGGTGAGGGATACTAAATGAGGGAAAAAACAAAACCAACATCCAACAAGCAAGGGGAATTTCAATTGCCGTCCTCAAACCAACAGGCGAAGAAGCAAGTGCCACAGGTATGCTGCAGATTCGGGCCTAGAAGAACAACTAACATGAAAGCAAGCCAGGCTGGTTTTAACTTAAACATGGAGATGGTCATTGCCTATGAGGTACATTGTGGCTTGCTTTTTGGTACGGACTCTAGCACGGTGGCTACCCAGGTGGTGCTAGTGGTAAAGAACCCGCCTGCCAATGCAGGAGACGTAAGAAACACAGGTTCTATCCCTGGGTTGGGAAGATCCCCTGCAGTAGGAAATAGCAACAACCCACTCCAGTATTCTTGCCAAGAAACTTCCACGGACAGAGGAGCTTGGTAGGCTACAGAGCATGGGGTCACAGAGTCTGACACGACTGAGCATGCGCACACACACACTCACACTAGCAGGGCACCCAGGTGAGCTGGCCAGATTTAAAGGCAGCAGTTTCTGATGACAGCTGATGTGTCAGGAAAATAAGTCTTAATATAAGCTGACTATAAAAACAGCCAACTGCTAAATAACAGGATGAGAAGAACCTGTTTGCTTGCTAAGTTGTCCATGAAGGCTTCCTTACATATAAACAGGTCATATGGAAATGTATTTCCTGATGATGTTATGCTCTCTGAGTCTGAAAGTTAGAGAGCAGAGTATGCCTGAGGATGGGCCATGTACTTCCAGATGTGATATGACATGCATGCGTGTGTGCTAAGTCTCTTCAGTAACATCTGACTCTGTGTGATCCTGTGGACTATAGCCCACCAGGCTCCTCTGTCCATGGAATTCTCCAGGCAAGAAGACGGGAGTGGATTTCCATGCCCTTCTCTAAGGAATCTTCAAACTCAGGGATCAAACCCATGTCTCTTACGTCTCCTGCATTGCAAGTGGGTTCTTCACCACTAGTGCTACGTGGAAAGCTCTGTGATCTGACATACTGGTGGGTAACAGAAAGTCTGAAGAAGTAATAAATAATTGAGAATTAGGAAACATGCACTATGAAAATTTTAAATCAAGGTTAACTTCAATTTTACTAGAATTTAACAACAAATAACAATTGAAACTAAAGATGCGGATTAACTTCAGATAAATAGATATCATTTCATAAAGATTAAAAAACTTTAAAGCAGAAAGATCTTTTACAAAGGCTTAAAATATTGGGGCCAATATGTTTGTTTCGGGGCATAAGTACACGTTTTTAGAAAGTAAAGTACTTTCCAATGCTTGTCAGCAATAAAAAGGAAATGAATTACTGATATACAACAACATGTAATATCTCAAAATAATTATACTGAGAGGCCAGACCCAAAGAGTACGTACTGTGCAAATACATTTATATAAAGCTCTAGAAAATGCATATAGAAAATTTTCTATAAAGAAAGCTGAGCACCGAAGAATTGATGCTTTTGAACTGTGGTGTTGGAAAAGACTCTTGAGAGTCCCTTGGACTGCAAGGAGATCCAACCAGTCCATCCTAAAGGAAATCAGTCCTGAATACTCATTGGAAGGACTGAGGCTGAAGCTGAAACTCCAATACTTTGGCCACTTGATGCAAAGAGCTGACTGATTGGAAAAGATCCTGATGCTGGGAAAGATTGAAGTCAGGAGGAGAAGGGGACGACAGAGGATGAGATGGTTGGATGGCATCACCAACTCAACGGACATGAGTTTGACTGGCGTGCTGCAGTTCATGGGGTCGCAAAGAGTCGGACACAACTGAGCAACTGAACTGAACTGAGAAAATGCATGTTATATAGATTAACAGGGAGCAGATTGCTGGGGTGAGAGAGGGTGGTGAGAAGGATTAAAAAGCGGTCTGACAGCACTTAATCATGGAGGTATTTATTATCTTGATTGCAGTGACAGTTTCATAGGTGTATAAAATACAAAAAATTATTAAACTGTACACTGTAAATATACAGATTTGTATATTTGAATTACAAAGCTATTAATAAAACCAAAACTTCAATAAATTTCTATCTTCTGAAGGAAATTATATGCTACATTTTTGTCAAATGTGTATGTTAAAGAACTTGAAACAATAACATAGAAGGCTTTTATAAAGATATTAATCATGAACAGAAAAAGGATTTCGTAACTGGCCTTTCACACTATAATACTAATGTTCCAACTCAGAACCTGGAGGTTATACAGGTCTGTACACAGTCCATATTTCTCCTGCTTGGCAATGTAGCAAAGCAAATTCCTAATTCATCTTTATACCATACAATGTCTAGTGTGACAGATAAGTAAATAGTTAAATAGATAAATGTATTGCTGTTGTTAATAACCACCACTGCAAGCAACTTTTTGAAGACCTTTGTTGGCAAAGACAAAACAAAGATAAGTGGCAAGAAGTGAGAATAATGGTTTTCATCAAGAGCAGAGCAGCTAGTCTAAACCTGGTCTTGAATGAATTTTTGAGAGAAGGTGCATTCTTGTATCAAACATGTGATACATTTGTGTATAAAAAGACAAAAGCAATACATACAATAATAAGTAATATGGCTTCCCTGGTGGTTCAGTGGTAAAGAATTCACCTGCAATGCAGGAGGCTGCCTGCAATGCATTGGATCCCTGGGTCAGGAAGATCCCCTGGAGAAAGAAATGGTAACCCACTTCAGTATTCTTGCCTGGGAAACCCCATGGACAGAGAAGCCTGGCGGGTTATAGTCCATGGGGTGCAAAGAGTTGGACACAACTTCGTGACTAAACCACCACCACAGACCCTTCATAAGCACAAAATTTAGAACTTTTCCTTGACAATAAGAATGTTTAGGATTATTTTTCAAAATCAGAATTTGCTTACAGCACTTTTGTTTTGAGAACCAAACACAGAGACTTGGGCATAAAATCCTGGATCTAACTTGAATTTTGTTAAAAATGTACACAGACTAATTTTCTAGCAAAGAGATCCTGAGGTTTCCAGGGGAAGTAGGAGAGAATGCTCTGATCCTAATTACCTTCAAACATGAGTAAGAGTAAAATCTAACAGATTGAGGATTGTGCCCAATGTCCACGCACAGTCCACAACTGATTAACAGAAACTGGAAGATTATCAACTGTCTTCAATGTTTAATAATAATCAATAAAAAACATTAA